CCCCAGAAACACTAAATGAAAAGCCTGTCACAAACAACCACCTACTGCATGACCCCTTTATGTGCGATATCCAGAAAAGCCCAATTCAGAGAGACGGGAGCGTAGTGGCTATGGAGGCTGGGATGAGTCAGTGCGGGTGGGTGGGGGCGCGTACTAAGGGAATGATAGAGAGTCATAGGGCACAAGTTTCATTTTGGGGTGGGAAAAAAAAACATTATAAAAATTATGGAATTACACAATGGTGATGGACGCACAACCCCGTGAATACTTTTTTTTTTGATCAGTGAACTGTACACTGTCAAGGATGAGCTGTACTGTATATGCATACAACTTAGAAGCTAGATATATGTGGTCACAGATGACCGAAAGAACAGTGCAGGAAATCCCTAAGGCCGGCTGAGGAGAATAATGGAGACACAGGAGTGGAAACAAATTTCTAAGGGCTCCACATGTCAGGAAGCAGTAAGCACACAAAGACCTTATGAATCAGAGGGAGAAAGCCAAAGCATTGACAATCACGTCAGTTTCCCATGCAAGCATCACGTACGCGAGAGTGAGGTCCTATTTGCATGACTGGTACTTGAGGCCTGAGTTTTAACAGTGCAGGCGTGATTTCAGGTTAATCGCGTTCGGTCGGGGAAAGAGTAGGGAGGACCAGGATTGAAGTAATTGTGAAGCTCACTGTAATACAAATGAGGCTGGAAGGCAGATTCACAGAGCCAGAAGAGAGACAAGCAAGAAGAGCGTGGTGGCCAGGGGTGACGGAGCGGGGAGCTGGGCTGACTGCTACTGGGTACTAGAGGTAGGGGGTTTCCTCGTGGGGGGAGAAAGTGTTGGAACTAGATAGTGATCACAGTTGGACGACACTAAAGGTACACTGAATTGTACACTGAAAAATGATTGTCGCATGCTCCGAGGGGGCATGTCACAAGGTCCTGCGACAAAATCATAGGAACCTTTATTGGACAGGTGTCTCATGCGAAGTGCTGTCTGATGTACCCTCCACCATCTGCAGAACTGAGTGCTTCCATTACAACCCGTCAAAATGGCAGCTTTCCCAGTCTCGAGGGCGGTGGTTCTCAACCTTCCTCAAGCCCTGACCCGTTAATACAGGGCCCCGTGTGGTGGTGACCCCCCAACCTTAAAACTAGTTTTGTTGCTACTTCATCACTGTCATTTTGCTACTGTGATGGATCAGGTGAACCCTGTGAAAGGGTCATTGGACCCACGACCCACGGCTGAGAACCACTGCTTGAGGTGCTCAAGGAGTGCTTCTTTCCACGTCTGTTGGAAAGGAAGTCTGGAAGGGCTGTAGGGTTTCCCAACAAGACCCTTGCAGGATGGCCCTTGCGGCTCTCAAAGAAGGAGCAGGCACAGTGGTCGTGGGAAAAAGTTCCTCAGCACCTCTTCCCTGGCCCATGTCGAACTGCTTAAAAATTCCCTGTCAGCAGCCCGTGATCACCGCACGTCTTCTGAGAAATGCTATCCAGATGAGCCTCTTGGGGATCCTCAGAGAGCAGTCGTTGTAACCTGAGGAGCCGACTCTGCCGGGACTGGCCTGGCCTGATAGATCCTCTCAGAAACCACGGCTTTAGGAGGACCTGTTTTTGAAGGCCCCCAACACTGACAAGTCTGTGGTCATCGCTGACGGCCGAGACAGTTTCAGCATGTCGTCAATTACAACCCACTTAGTATCAATACTCTTTGACAACTTACATGTTATCATTAAAAGACAAAAAACGAAAAACAAAACCAGCCTGGGTGCAACAGCCAGGAACATTGACAAAGGAGGACAGACATGGTGGAGGAAAAGCAGATGTCTGAATAGTCTCTACTCTCCATCAATTATTTGAAATACATTTAATAAGTACAAACATGCTATAGACTTTCCCTCCAGATCCACAGGACAAAGTCCTTGCCCTTTGTACGCAAAAGGAAGAAAAAAAGGGGGAGAGACGAGGCCAAATAAGAGAAAGGTGAGGTAAGCTACGAGAGAAAGCAATGGTGCGGGGTCTCTTGACGAATCTCCTTGGAGATGCATAACTGTAGAAAGCCTGGTGAGTACGACATTGATTGGGAATGAGGTAACCACAAACACCACTGTCTCAAATGAAAAGGGATTCAAGATCTGACCCAGAAAACAAGCATCGTAACCACCAGATAAAATTTTAATGATAAACACAAGATGCTCGACACACCGGCGAGATCGAAGTAGCTGATGCTAGACCATAAACGTAAGGTTCGCTGCAAAAGCGGAGACTCGGAGCCTCTCTGACCCACGGATCAAGTTTCATCTCATCGATCCACAAACTCTGCCATGGCGCTGCCTGACAAGCTGGCATCGCCGGTAATGCTGAGCTGACCCCCAGGGAGCGGAGAGGCGGGAAAAGGAGGTCTGCCACTGGGATGCGCGGCCTGCCTTTCTCTCCCAGTCACCACATCCAGACGAGAGATTCTCGGTTTCTCACTCCTTTTCTTGCTCTATGAGTCCTGTCTCAACACCCTGTCCCCAAGTGCCTTCTGACATGCTACGTGGAGACAGACCCCTTGAAACCAGACGCATGTAAGTGCTGTAGGAGTCATCCCTGGGTTAACGCCTAAGAATGCATGGCAGGAAAGGACTTAGGAGTCACGAGCTCGTAGCTCCACGGTTTATCAGAGACGTCCATCAACCAAAGGTAACGCTGACAACTGTTCTTTTGGGTACTACTGGGTCCATTCAGATGCACAGAGACCCCAAGTAACAAGAGTAGCAGTCTGGCCCCATGAAGTTGTCTAGGCTGCTACCTTTTTAAAAAATCATTTTATTGGGGGCTCATGCAGCTCTTATCACAATTCATGCATCCATCGTGTCAAGCACATTTGTACATTTGTTGCCATCATTCTCAAAACATTTGCTTTCTACTTGAGCCCTTGGTATCAGCTCATTTCCTCTCCCTCCCTGAAGGGTGCTACCTTCACAGAAGCAGATCACCAAGTCTTTCTCCTGACACGGCTCTCGGCGAGTGTAACCACCAACCTTTCTGTCCGCAGCCAAGCATTTAACTACAGCCCCATCAAGACTCCTTCACTGACTGCTACAGAAACAGAAATGTAGATTTCTCCCCTAAAATGTTTTCTAAAAATAATAGCTTTTCAGCACTCCCAAGAAGGGTACTAGCCTCGAAACACTTGTTCACAGTCAGGCAGTGCACACAACCAAACATTACAATGATCTGACAACTTGGAGGCTCAATTCAATTGCTGCTAAGAAATACTTCCTAAGGAAAAGATTTGCTCTACAGAAAAAGACTCCACAAGGATCAATCTAGAACCCCCTCCCAGTGGGGACGGATAACGGAAAAATGCGTGAGGGGTGACGGAGGACAATGTAAGATATGGAAATAATAATCTATAACTTATCAAGGGTTCATGAGGGACGGTGGGTCGGGGAGGGAGGGTAAGAAATGGGGAGCAGATATCAGGGGCTCAAGTGGGGAAGAGAATGCTTTGAAAATGATGATGGTGGCATATGTGCAAATGTGCTTGACACACTGGAGGAATGTATGGATTGTCATGAGATGTTAAGAGCCCCGAATGAAAGTTTCTTGTTTTTTTTAAAAGACAAAGACTCAGCTGCTATGCAGTTCTGAGTCTGGGGTGATTTGGCTTTCTACTGGCGAGGTGTATCCTTTCATCACACTCACTCCATCTATGTGCTGAGCAAACAAGCTGAGACGCTGGACGGCACGAAGGAGGTGGCGGCCTCAGGACTGGTGGCAGACTCATTTACCACCTGCAACATGCAGACGACCAAACTTTCTGTCGCTTCCTTTACCGGAAGTCGTTCAGGTGTAACATTAGCACCATGGACGACCAGAACAAGTAAGTCTGTCTGGGAAGAAGTAAAGTCAGAATGCTGTTTGTTGGGGGGGGACGGGGGGGACAGTGAGACTTCATACCAAGCACTATGGACGTGTGGTCAGGAAGGACTGACCCCTGGAGAAAGGCAGCATGCTTGGTAGAGAAGTAGAGGGGCATCGAAAAAAGGGGCAGGCCTTAGACAAGACGGAGGGACACAGTGGCTGCAACAACGGGCTCAAACACCCCCGTGACTGGGAGGCCGGCTCCTCGGGATGAGCAGTGTGCCCTTCTGTCGCACACAGGGGCACTGTGCGTCCAATGGAGTGCACGGCACCCGACGACGACGACAGAAGGAAAAACTTCTCGTAGGTGGAAGGAAAAACTTCTCGTAGGTGGCCCCTCTCAAACTCCCGCAGACTCTTTCTAGGCTCTGGCCTCTGCGTTGAGGTCGTAATTATACAAAGTGAGAAGTCGTTGTCAACACACCCAAAAGAAAATGGCTCAGCTTATTAGACTCTAAAGGTGGACATAAATGTAACTGTAGCAAAATATGACAGACATAAACGTAACTGTAGCAAAATATGAAGAATTCATGAAAGTGGGTTTTGGAACAGAAGCCAAAGGGATATTCAGAAGCTAAAATTAAATTTCTGGCCCACGGAGACACATAAAAAGCCTCTTTCAGGACAACTTAAACAGCCAATACGTCGCACTATGTGGTGGAAAAGGAAGACTGTGTGTGCCCACAGGCCTTCCTCAGAGGCAAGGTTTCAGAAGAAGAAAATAAGCGCAGTCCCACTTTACATCAGCCCTTATTATTCTTGCTTGACTTTTTTATGTCCGCATAAAATGCTAACTGGTTGCCTTCCTGAAAACCTAACATTATACACCCCGAGAGGGATTTAAAAGCTAGGGGAGACGTTATGGAGACAAATGACCAAGAGCACTTGCCCAGCCACTGGCTTCTCACCACTGACTTCCGAGCCCTCGAGTCTCCACTCCAGAGATGTTCCATCTTACGCACGGGCGGCTGGGGTTGAGGAAGGCGCCGACCCTCCAGGGAAGGGAAGGTCACAGGTGCCCACACGGTGGGACATGAAAAATGAAAGATGTCACGCTGGACAGTGGCTAAGGAAAAAATTATTTATTTTGCTTACCCAGCAATGACCACTCCATCATGAGAATGAACATCACACAGAACAGCATCCGGAACGTGCTCCAGCTCACTCACAGCTCCTTTGCGCTTCTGTAGAAGGACAGAGGGGGAGGGGCAATGTATCCTCTTCCTGGGATAGCCCAAGACACGCCGTTTCACTTTCACCTGCATTCCACAGAGGTCCCCACAGCGTGTGCCACCTTCCAGGTCATCGTGGCGTTCACGGGACGAAGATAACAAGGATGGGTTAAGTAACAGCAATTGCCTGTGACCAGACCATGAAAGGCAGTGGGCGTGTGACTCACTGGCCCTGTCCTAAAGGAGATTCCAGGACCATAAGGGAAAGGTGGGGGCACTAGACTGGGAAGGACCCTCCACTAGTGGGAGGACAGCCAGCCCCCGACTTACAAGGTAGTCACGTGACGGCAGACCTCGCGGTCCACTGGGTTTTGATTTGAACTAGCACATGTCGCAGCATATACTCTGCGGAGGTTATCTGCAGATGTTCACTAGCAGATGTTTCCTACCTCAAAGATTTATAAAGCTATTGATAAATAAAAATCAGTCATAAGGAAACTGCTATCAAGGGTATTTACGAAATCCTATCATTAAGTCAGTACTATCTGTGTCTACAGGTTAGGAGACATTCAGGTGGGAGAAGAGAAATTATTGAGTGACACCTGTAAACAGCTCCTCCCAGACAGACAGACAGACAGACAGACACACACACACACACACACACACACACACACACACACACACGCAGACAGAGAGATGAAATTCCAGACTGGAGAAAAAGGAGGTGGAGGAAATGGTTTAGGATTGTAGACTTTCGTAGTTCCATGGAAATCGCATTTATAGGAAACCCTAAAACCCGGTACTTCGGGCTCCTCCTATGGGAGGAAACTAAGTGATGGGCAGAGAGAAAGGCATATTCTACATTATGTACCCTTCTGTGAGTCCTGAATTATTGTACAATAATCACTTATCACAGATTAAAAAACAAGCAAACAAACTTCAAAATGTTCTGAATGCCTCCACTATCTTTTAATTCCATGTTTCCAAGTTTTTAAATCTCCTTTCTATGTTTATATATGTATATATATGTATAGACACACGCACACAAATAGTACTCATCAGGACACCAAAAAAAGTGTCAGTGCTAGGGTGCAAACCAAAAGGTCTGTGGTTCAAATCCACCAGTCGCTCTACGGGAGAGAGACGTGGCAGTCTGCCTTTGTACACACTGAACACTCTACGGGGCAATTCTGTTCTAGTCTACAGCCACTATGAATCACAATCAACTGGGTGGTAGCAAGTTTACGCAAAAATAAAGAGACTCTTGACAAATATAAAGTCTTTTACACAAGGAAGGTGGGAAAGAGGCAGGCAGTTCAAGACAAAATGCAAACACGAATACAGGTTTTCAAGAAGATCAAGTAACCCATAATTTCACTTGGCAGGACTGGCACAAGGATGAGAAACAGTGCATGTGTGTGCCAAGCCCTGTTCCTCAGCATACAGTAAGTGTTCGATAAATGGTGGCTGCTATCACTATTGTTATCATATCATTTATATTCGGGGAAGGCTGGTGACATCCATCCCATGGAAAATCACCATTTATTAAACCGCTGTGTCCCAGGCACGGTTCGAGATGGTGGGATTATCTGCATAATGGCCTTACTTAACCTGAGGGCCAAGCCTAAGGCTGAGAGATAAGGGCCAACATATCCAAATGGCGTGGCCCTGCTAGCAGTGACCCAGGGAGGAGGGCTCATGGTCAGAAGTCAGCTCTCTGGCCATCGTAGAAAAGCTCTGGGGAGAGAAGAGGCACTGGAAGAAGAGCAAGCGTCTGAACTGAAAGTCTGCATGCTTGCGGGGCTCACTGGTGTCCGTCCTGACTCTGCCCTGCCTGCTACCCACAGGCTCCGTGCCCATGCCAGTACTCTAGTCCTAGAGAAATCCTGTGGGTCCAGGGCGAAGGAGAGTTTATGCAGACTGGGCCCAGGCTGGATGTGACTGGTCTAGGGAAATTCATGCATTGATAGGCCATCCCCCATGTGGAGCTTCCAAAATAATCCTGGGATTCTTTCTAGGGTCTCCCAGCCCCAACCTAGGAGATAATACACCAAACAACAGGGCCAATGCATCTGCAAGCCAACCCTGAGTGGCGCCACAGCATTGTGACCAGTGGGCAGAGCCCTAGGCACTTGTCTAGCCAACACTGAGTTAGCATGGACTTAACGGTGTGGGGAAATTGGCCTAAGACGCTCCAAATGGAAGTCTCCCTTATATTCAGCTTGCAGTTTTTGTTTTGTTTTCCAGCTCACTCAGATAACCACCATGTTCTGAGCACCTACCAAGCATATGGCTTTGTGCTTGTTAGAGAAAAATGAAGACAGACGGTCCATTAAACGGTACACCGCCTAGGAAGTGTGATTGAGTGCCAAATGCTATATGGTGGGTCTTGAAACACCTTCACTTTTGCCGCCTCCAGCCCAAATGATGTAGTTGTACCTGCCGCTCTCTCCCTCCCTCGATTTCTAAATTACCAAAGAGGAAGAAAAAAAAACTTACCTGCTACTTCCTCCTTCTCCAGGTCTGACACCTCTGAATCTGAGCTAGGGGACAAGGACTACGTGTAGCGGCCAAACTCACAGATCCAGTGAAAACTACCACTTCGTTCTGAACTGAAATGCTCCAAGTGAAGGCCCAACTCTTAAGAGCTTTCTTAAATCCCCCACCCGGCCCACTCCTCTGTCCATGGCTGGATCGCCTGCTGTCGGGACTGCTTCTGTGTTCAGACCTCCGGCCCTTCCTTTCACTTGTGTTCACCACACCGCCTCATCGGGCCAAGTGAGTCCCCCAAAGGTGAGCTTATTGCGTTGTGTTAGTTATCCTTAGAGGAGTGGTTAGGGTTAGAGTTAACTGTCCTGAGAAGAGTGGCCAATTTTGTCCCCCTAGGGGGCATGTGGCCGCGTGTGAAGATGATTTGAGTTACTACAACTAGAGAGAGAGAGAGAGAGAGAGAGAAGTGCTGGTAGTACCTGACAGTGGAGGCCAGTGATGCTGCTCAACCTCCTGCAATGCACAGGACAGCACCTGCCCAGCCCCCACCGCCACCAACAACAAAGAAGTATGTGGCTCAGAATGTCAGTGGTGCTGTGGTCAAGACGCCCTGAATTGGAGAAATACTGTTGCCGAGAAGATCTGTCACTAATGAGGTTATGAGATTACTGGGGACAGGCATGCACACAGGCAATATGTCACCATCAGCAATGAGCAAAGCTTGTTAACCTCAAAGTCTATTAGGATTGACCTCTACAGGGGAGGAAAGAGTACCCTTCTACCCCTTCTGGACAAGTCGATCTCCAGCTGGAAAGAACCAGGTGGAAAAGAAACACTGCCACCACTCTGGTGTCTTGTCCTGCCTCAAACAGCTTTTATGTAACACTGCTCTTGACAGTTATTTCCTATGGAAACACTTCACTGTGCAGATTTTGATCTGTGATCTAATATTTCTGTAGAGATTTCAAAGTGATAAATGTGGTGGAAGCAAGCCAATGGGTTATGTGAGGGAAAAGGCGACAGTACTTAGAGACATCTCATAATCACTCGCCTACATTTACTGGAACAAACATTTTTCAGCGCCTCTTTTGCATTCAGATGGTGACTGGGGGTCTTGGTCCATCCAGAGGGTTGGGAAAAGTGAAAGAACGGGGGCTGTATAGTGAAAAGGGGGCCTCAAAGATCCTCACTATCTGTGGGGCAAGGTGCCGCCTACCCAATCTCACCCTCCTTCCCCTAGAGAGCAAGAGGACTCGGGTATTTGAAAATGAGGCTGATACTGAGAACAAAATGGGCAAATCCCCAGGTACCTGGAGGGGGATGTGTACCCCACTGCCCATGATCTTCCTGGCAATTCACCCCCAGCTGTAACTCAAGGGACCGAGTTTAATCCCCGGCCTAGGCTGCCATGCCCTTGCTGGCCACTCTTCTGCAGGTAATGGTACTGGCCACTGCTTACCTTCCAGTTGGTCTTGAGCATGTGCTCCTTGGCTCGGCACTCCTGGAAGATGAGCTTCCAGCAGGAATAATCAGCAATGCTGCTCTGGAGAAGGTGCCCTTCCTGCTGGCACAGTCTGTACCACAGCACTTCATCTTCTGAAATCACCTTCCATGTCTTGCTCACCTAAAACAGCACAAGTGACACAAATGTCAAATTCTGCAATTAGAGAAGGCCCTTGTCATCCAAAAATCAATCAACACCTTTATTATTGCCCTGGGTTTATGGCAGTATAAAATGTCTCATTAACAAAACACTCCGAGGTGGAAAAATACTACAAGCAAATGTTTCCAGTTTCATAAGATTTCAAAACTGTTGTACTACCATCTAATATTACATCTTAGATTATTTGATTAAATGATTATCTAACACATGCGGCAAAAAAATACAGGTTTAGCCCAGGTTTAGAACTGAATCCCTTTACTTTTTACTAAGGGGCACGTACATTTCTATCTTACAAAATTGCAGGCTGGTGGGTTTTGGAAAATAATCCAAGAAGCTAGACTGTGTGAAGAAGAGCGAGGCATCGTGGCCAGAGGAAGACTCATGAACAACCTGCAAGATGCCGAGTGAGTGAGTCTTTCTTACTGAAATGAAGAGGACTTGAAGCATGAATCTGATGCAGATCAAAGGCAGCCTTCAGTGGGGATTACACCTCAACATGAAGCAAACAAGAATCCTCACCACCGGGCCAGGAACCAATACCACCAAAAACAACGAGAAAAAAAATTGCTGTTGTCAAGGATTTTATTTTACTTGGATTCCCAAGCAACATCAATGGAAGCCGCAGTCATGAAATCTAACCGTGCACTGCCCTGGGCACATCCAAAGTGGTAAGAAGCAAAGGGGTCATTTGGAAGACAGGAGTGCACTGGTCCAAAGAACGGTCTTTCAATCGCCACATAAGCACGCAACAACAGCTGACCAGCGAGAAAGGCGGAGGGAGAGAGCACGGTGCCTTTGCATTGCAGCCTTGGCGATGAATGTGGAATACATCACCGACTTCCAGAACAATGAATTAAATCTGTCTCCGAAGAAATGAAGCCAGACAGTCTTTTGAAGGGAGGACAACAAGTCTCTGTCTTATGTACTTTGGACATATATCAGGAGGGACCAGTCTCTGGGGACGGACATCATGCCTGGAAAAGTGGAGGATCGGCAGAAAAAGAGGAAGATCCTCAGGGAGGCTCATCGACACAATGGCTGAAACATGATTGTAAAGATGGTGCAGGACCGGGCAGTGTTTCCTTCCGTTGTTCACAGGGCCACTATGAATCAGAACCCACCCGACAACATCTAACAACCACAATTCACAGTAATTATCCATGCCATGAAATGTCTAGTTACATAAAAATCTCAAATTCTTATTCTATGTAAAAACAGAGATTGCAAATGTAGGGATCGAAATATATATATTTAACTGAAAGCTCAGGCTATTAACTAGAATTGTAAGATCTGATATGGAGAAATTAATGTTATGCCTGGACTGAATTTCATATCCCCAACAGTATCCAGAGGAAATGGGCCATTTTAGCTATTAGTTGTTTTTGTTCTCCAGCCCTACCTTAGGGGAATGACGGGTTTCGTCCGAGACTAATGTACAAACTTGGCTGGGCGCGAAAGATGGACAGTGCTGGCAGGAGGAGGAGCCCGACATGATCTGCAGCACAGTCAAGTTATGCAGGATCAAGTGAGCACGGTTTGTTCCACATTTGAATGCCGCAACCTCCCCGCAGATAAAAAGGAGAGCAGTAACCAGCTGTTTACAGCAATGTGCGCTCTGTAGCACTCCCTTAGGGCCACTTCAAGACACCAAATACACAGGCCAGAGGAAACACGAGACCAGGTCAGACTGCGCACATGGACATGGGAGACTCGTTGTACAAGGAGGCCTTGGCCTTGTTTCACGAAGTACTGTGCAGGGGGCGCGGGCCTTGACAAGGTAAAGCGTGACTAAGCTCTTGCTCTCTGCTAGCACCCTTCTACTTGTGAATTCACTCTTAGGGAGCCCTTGCTGGGAGAGTCTTGGAGGTTCAGGGCCCTGGCATCATCTTTGTCACCAGGGCCATAACAACTCCTGCCTCCTTCTGGAGGTTCGGAAAACTAAGCCAGGCCTGCTGATACTCAAGGGCCAGCCTTGGTCAGTCTACCCTTAATACACTTGGACATCACCATCCTGGAGCTGCCAAACGCATTCTTTGGTCGCACTGCGCATCAGTCAAGTATCAAATGACTGGGATGTACCAAGACAAACCCAGAGAGTTTGAATACTAGCAAAAGGTAGTCAAAATCACCTTTATCATAACTTCAAAATTAACAAAAATGCTGCACCATTCCAAGCAACCTTACAAGCAAGCCCTGGCATTTGACCTCCTCTAATCCCGCCCCTCCTCTCACTGGCTCCACAGTAGCCTGGACAACTCAAAGCCTCCTAACCAGGGGAGTTGTGAGAGCCAGCTGCCAAAACAGGTTTGGAGGAGCCACATCCTCAAAGAACTGTCACTGTCTGACCAGTCTGGTAACTCGCTGAAAACCGCCATTCTCAGCGCCTGTCTTGATTGTGACCTGAACGGGGTATGTCAAAAGCAGTCAGGGCAACTGCTGCCCACAGCAGTGGTCTGTGGTGACCCTATTAGTTGGGGCTAGTGAGGCTGCGCCCCATTAAAAACAAAAGGAAAATGGAATGTCTACAGGGGGCTCTGGAAATCCGACCTACTCCTGGGAGTAGGTCAGAAGACTGTGCTGCAGCAAGGGGGCTGTGTGAAGGCCCAGGGACACTCTGAGAGGGCCTCGATCTCGTAAACTCTGTCTGACAGCGAGACTGTGCACAAGCAGGGAGCGGAGGCTACAGCAAACTGGTGAACCACTGAATTTTTGGCCAACACCCAGACAGCCCCTTGGGAAAGGAGAGGTGACTTATGGTTCAAAGTATTTAAGGATGACTAAGTTAACTCAGCAGAGACTCCAATGGCATGGCAGGGCAGGACAAGAAATGACAAACTTTACAGAGTAGCCCAGAGAAGTCTGTACACAAGCAGCAAGTCTATAGACAGACAGCAACAATAAGCCCTAAAGAAGGGAGGCAATCTGATTCTGAGTTCATCATTTTTATATTATACTACAAGCCACTGCACGTAAGCAAATTAGGTGAGCTAGGTGAAAAGAACAGATTCCTAGAAAGACAAACTAGCGAAATTTAAAAAAAAACAACTAGAATACCCGGAGAGCTCTAGCATGAGAAGGAGCATGAATAGTCATTCAAAATCCCCCCCACAAGGAAAGCTCCGGCCCAGGTGGTTTCACTAGTGGATGCTAGCAAATACTGAAACAAGAATTCACACCAGTGCTTTTCAAACTCTCCTCAAAAATGCAAGAGAAGATACACTGCAGATAATTCTGCTATCATCCTGATCTCAAAACCAGACAAGGAAAACCTAGGAAAAATACAGATCAAGATCTCTATGCATACAGATTTTAAGTCTTCAACAAATGAAACCCATTAAAAGAGAAGAGAGAGAGAGAGACCAGAACCAAGTAGGATTTAGCCCAGGGAGGCAATGTTGGTTTAATATACAAAAAAAATTAATAAGAAACAAAAGCCCACATGAAGTCCTCATACACAACCACGTTAACTTACAGTTTAAAAAGCAAGGAGTTATTTATGTTCAAGACAGAGTTACACTTTACAAATGAACTAATGATAATGATTTCCCCAAGGAGCTGTGAAGTGATAGAACACTCAAATACATTTGATAACATTTTCGGGAACATATCAGCATGATCAGCTGCACTGTCAGAGCAGTGAGATGTAATGGAAATCTGGTTATGCTTATGGAAAGGAAACCAAGATTCTCACTCACAGGTTTTTCATTAACTAGCTGTGCTACGAGAGTGACTGACTGTGCATGTCTTCCTCCTCGGTGAGAAGGAGGGGAGCCAGGCCCTAAAACATCCTGCGTGACATGAGATTCTCTGACCTTGCAGCCTGAGCATCTGCAGAACGTGCAGTCACCCCTCAGCAACAAGACAGCCATGCACATAAAAAACCTGCAGCAGAGCGCCCGACAGATGCAATCATTTCTGCACCCAGCACACAAATCCAGCTCACTACTAACAGCACTCTACACCCAAAATAGCCCAAACTTGCTGCCGGAGAGTCAATTCCAACTCATGGTGTCTAGGATCCACAAAGTCCTAATTATGAAACTATACTGTTCCAAATATTACATTTAAAAAGCCATCCAGTAGGCTTTTCATATGAAACATTTATAAATCCATAGTGGGTTTCTATTTACCCCATGGCGACAGAAAGAGGCTCCAATCTGTCACACAAAAACTTGGGATCCAAGAACTCAGCTGGTCTGTTTCAAAATTTCTGACTTCCCAACTTCAAGCAAACTATACTAAAAACAATCGTTCCAAGAGCGAATTCGTCCCAGAGTTTGCCTACGTAAACACTGGTCAAGGACACACAGGATGGCACACTTGATCTCTGGGTCCCTTAGTGATGCCTCTGCTATTCACGTGCACATGTGCACTCTAAGTGTGACCGTCACACCTCTGCCACCTTCTCTGCGGGTAGACACTCTTTCGAAGCAAAGTATTCACTGGCTGATCACGTCATACTTGCTCGCATCTCAGAGTTTTAGACTGAGGAATTAACGGGGGTATGGAGATGGACAAGAATCTCTGAAAGAGACAAACAGCTAACAGCTTGGCTGGGAATCAAAGGTTGGAGATTCGAGTCCATTCCCAAGTGTCTCCAAACCAGCCCCTGAAAACTTAAGGAGCCCGTGTCTGCTCTCATACTCACGAGATCACCGTGAGTCAGAACGATTTTGTTGGAAACCAACGAGTTGCACCACTTCCGCTTGAAAGAAGGCTCGGAACAAGAGGTGGACACCTGCCTCTCTTTGAATGCTGTTGGGTGAAGAACTGAAAACCCACAGTCGTCTCAGCCACCGGAGTGCTTCCTTCTGTTGTGTAGGAAATGGATTCCACCCACAGCCCTAACTTTGTCCTTCTGGAGAAAAAAAAACAAAAAAACCAGTCTTTCAACATCCCTTTAAATAGCAGGCATTGCATTTCCCCCCTTGGTCATTTCTTGATCGGTTAAGTATGGCCCA